CAGTGCAAATTGTTTTTAAAACATTTTTATTTATTTATTATTATATTATATTATATTAAGTTATATTAAGTTATTTTTTTCTCTTCACAGTTTTTATATTTAATGATATTTAATGACATTTAATTATAAAACTTCTGCAACTAATTAGACTAAGCAAAACATACATTAATTGCTGAGAATATATACCAATATATAGCATTTTTACCGAACATCTCTAATCTCTAAATGCACTGGTTTGCCGTGACTGGAGGATCATGGGAACTGTAGTCCACAACAACCATGCTAAAAAAAATCCACTGTAATATGAAAAATACTTGCTAAAGAGGCGTAAATCCAACAAGACATTTCATTTAGAGCCTGTTGTTTAAGTCTCGCCCCGGCACTGATCCACAACCGAGGAGCCGAGAAAATAATGGCACACGGATCCCAGAGCTAGAACAGCAGTAGCGATGGAGGCCAAGAGCTCATAACGCCAGTTCATTTTCACAATCAAAAGTGACACTTCAAATATTGCTCTGGAAAACATATTAAAATATAAAAGTGTAAACGGAGCCGCCGCATGCATACACAGATTCTGATCGAGTTCAGACAGTCGTAACTATCTGCGTTTGTCAGACGTGTGACAGTATTTAAGATCTTTCATAACAATGGCGTTTTTAAGAGAAATATGCTCAATTATAGGAAAATTGTCACAATGTGAAAACATTATTATTTAATGTTATTTAATATTATTTACTATATTATATTACTATTTAAATAATAATTTTTTTCACACTACATATATTTTCCATTACACTAATGAGAACGTAGTGGGTAAAATTTGCATAATTATCAGGAAAATTGTATTATTATTATTTAATTTATCTTTTTTAAATGAGATATTTTCTTGTATTACAGTAATGAGAATTTTGAATGTAAGATGTGCTTCATTATTAGAAAAACTGTCTTGATGCAAAAAAAGAGTAATATTTAATATCAAAATATTATCTGCATGCAAAATATAATTTAATATTTTTTCTTTGTATTTCGGGGTGAAATATGAGCCGGTCAAGCTCTTGACTATTTTAGTGAGATTGATGGTTAGATGGAGCATTGTGAAGACAGCACCCCGCGTCGCTGCTTTAAAACATGCGTTAATTGAGTCTCTAATTGCTCGTGAGCATCTGATGAGATCCAGACCCGAGGACTGAAGTCATTTCATCAGCATCTGTGTCAGGAAAGCATTAGGATGTAGTGGAGATGCTCCTCTCTGTGCAAACATGAGCCGACTTCATTCTGATTCAGGAGAACGGCACACTTCTAAAGCAGAAAAACACATGCAAGCAAACAGTGAAGTGAGTGGATATTTGAACTGAGAATTGATTTCCGTTTTTTTGAACTGCTTTAGACTGACTCTAAATGGCAGCGCACTTACAGACGACAAAGAAACGACAGAATCCAATTCCTCTGAAGATAACTTAATTTACACATTCCAGAGAGATCAAATTAAACATTCATCATTCATTTATATATATATATATAATTTAAAAAACAATCCAGCATTGTGAAGACTGCACACTGCGTCGTACTTTAAAATATGCAAAATATGCACTAATTGAGTGTCTAATTATATATATATATATATATAATACCCATTATTATTTTAATACATTTATATAGTATTTAAAAATAAATATTTACAAAATTGTCGCAATGCAAAAAAAGATAATATAATTTCATATTACAGATTTTTTTGCGTTACAATAATGAGAATTTACAGGGTAAAACATGCTTAATTATGACAATTGTCAGTGCAAAAACAAAACATATATATATATATACATTACCGTTTTTTTGCATTACAGTAATGAGAATTTAGAGGATAAAATATGCTTATTTATCATGGAAATTGTCAGTGCAAATTGTTTTTAAAACATTTTTATTTATTTATTATTATATTATATTATATTAAGTTATATTAAGTTATTTTTTTCTCTTCACAGTTTTTATATTTAATGATATTTAATGACATTTAATTATAAAACTTCTGCAACTAATTAGACTAAGCAAAACATACATTAATTGCTGAGAATATATACCAATATATAGCATTTTTACCGAACATCTCTAATCTCTAAATGCACTGGTTTGCCGTGACTGGAGGATCATGGGAACTGTAGTCCACAACAACCATGCTAAAAAAAATCCACTGTAATATGAAAAATACTTGCTAATAGTTTTCTAATAGTTGTCTGAATATATGGCTGCTTTTCAATGGAGAAGATGGTTTTGCAGCACATGGTTGTGTTTGGATGGTTAGTGTGAGTGGACATGTAAAGTAAATGTCAGCGGATGGAGGAGACACTGTTAGATTACATATTTATCAGAAGAATCTCAATATTAGCAGGCCGTCACGCAGCACAGACGTTTGCTTACTGAGGCTCAGTGTGGGAGGATAGTAATATCGTCAGTCAGTCTGGAGCGAAAGACGAGCGGATGTTTGCACAGAATGAGAGCTTTAGCTAAAATCAGCGAGTGGCTGTGGAAACGGGTCGCAGAGAGGAGTTTCTGCTCCGTTCTGATTCAGTCAGCAAGGACAAAACAATGAAAAAGCAAGACAATATAAAAATGTGACACGTTGTGTCCACGTATGAAGTATAATGACAGCATTGTCAACATGGACATTGTGTGAGTTTTGAATAATAATTATAATAAAAAGAATAACAATTGTTATTATCATCATTATTATTATTATTAAATCAGTTCATTCATATTAATATTTTTGTCAGTGTTTCATTTTTGCACAATAACAATTTTGGTACTGTGTTTGGTCCTGAAGCAAAACAAAATTGTGAATAAAATTAATTAGCAATAAATTAATATTTTATTAGTATTATTAATATTGTTATAAATTTTATTAGTAGCACCTAATAGCACTAATATGAAAACTGTTTTACTATTTAATAATAATGTCAATATAAAAATGTCTAAATATTATTTTGGGTATTATTATTAATGTATTAGTATTATTTAATATAAATATAAATATTTAATATTTGTTATTTATATTTCTGACTCATTTTGTTGTTTTCTAGTTGTATTGGTTGCATTTATGTCATCATTTTGTGACACATATGTATAAGTGCTATTTTGTAATAATAAAAAATATATATAAATATATATATATATTTGCTATTTTGTTATTTATTATTGATTATTATTATTTTATAATATTAGTGTTAGTTTTGGTATTACTTAACATGCATTTTATTCATATAAATTAGTATAAATAATAATATTAATATTTATATGAATAGTGGTATTAATATTAATACCACTATTCATAATAATATTAATATTTATATGAATAGTGGTATTAATATTAATACCACTATTCATAATAATATTAATATTTATATGAATAGTGGTATTAATATTAATAAATGTAACTTTTTTTTATCAATAAATCCTTTTGTTACTGTGTTTGGTCCTGAAGCAAAACCAGGTGAGAACCACTAATCTAAATGTTACATTAACAGACATTAATTTCACACCAGCATCCAGAAAAGCTCCTAAACTGGAATATAAAGATAATTTTGTTGAATTTAATGTTGAGGTGAGCGACAGTCAGGGCAGCGTTCTCTTCTCATACCCATAATTCTCCTGTGCTTCCCGCTCTGTGGCTCAGTGAGGTCTCTATCAATGACTGTCTGTTCATCCTCTGACCTGTGACAGAGCGCTTCATCACGCTGACCCCTGACCCCCGAGACAGTCTCACGCATCATCAGCCACTGAACACGTCCCGTTTCAGAGCGACCAATCAGAGCGCGGCTCAGAAGCGGGGCTGCTGGGTCGCGCCGGGATCCGAGGTGAAGAGAGGCGTAAATCCAACAAGACATTTCATTTAGAGCCTGTTGTTTAAGTCTCGCCCCGGCACTGATCCACAACCGAGGAGCCGAGAAAATAATGGCACACGGATCCCAGAGCTAGAACAGCAGTAGCGATGGAGGCCAAGAGCTCATAACGCCAGTTCATTTTCACAATCAAAAGTGACACTTCAAATATTGCTCTGGAAAACATATTAAAATATAAAAGTGTAAACGGAGCCGCCGCATGCATACACAGACTCTGATCGAGTTCAGACAGTCGTAACTATCTGCGTTTGTCAGACGTGTGACAGTATTTCAGATCTTTCATAACAATGGCGTTTTTCAGAGGCGACTTGTTCCAGCGATTAGCGGCGCAGCATCACAAAACACTACATTGCTGTTTTTGTGTCTCTCTCTCTCTCTCTCTCTTTCTCTCTCAAATGAAGCATTGGGAAGTCTGATTCATTTTATTGAATCAGTTCATTTGAGTGGTTTATTTAAATGAACAGATTCAAAACAATGATTCAGTGATTCGTGTGAATCACAGCATTTTAGGACTTTGTTTTTGTAGAAATATTTAAAAAATAAATTTTGTCATTTTAAGAGTAAACAATTGAGTCAAATGATGCATTTTATCAATGGATGTTTTAGACTTATTTTTGAGGATTTTCTGGTTTCATTGTAGTTTATGTGTTTAAGCTTTTTGCTATATTTTAATATAATAGTTTATAATATTTTAAGCCATTTTTATATTTTCAGTTTTTATTGAAATTTCTTAAATTTTTAGTCATTTTGTAGTCATGAGTAGTTTTATAATAGGTGTTGTATTAATAGTATTATATATTTATATATATATTTTTTTTTTATTAATAATTCCAATTGGCTTTTATTTATTTTTTTTAGTGAATGTATGTTGATTTTATATTTATATTTTATTTTATTTCAGATTTATTTCAAATAACAAAAATGTTTTTTAATAGTTTAATAGTTAATATTTTTTTTCCCAAATTATTAATATTATTGTATAATATATATATATATATATATATATATATATATATATAATATTAAATATTGTTTAGGACTCAAAATCACATGCCTCGATTACTCTTTTCTGAAATGTCTTCCCGTCATGTTTTCTCGTCTCTCCAGGATGATTCCCTCGGCCAGTAAGACGTTTAAGATCAATGATCTGGCGGCGGGGCGTGAGTACGAGCTGTGTGTGTTGGCGGTGTATGATGACGGCATCACGTCTCTGACGGCCACACGCGTGGTGGGCTGCGTTCAGTTCCACACGGGCGCGGAGGCGGGTCAGTGCCGCTTCATCCCCAGCCAGTTCCTCGGCGGCACCATGATCATCATCATCGGCGGCATCATTGTGGCTTCTGTCCTCGTCTTCATCATCATCCTCATGATCCGCTACAAGACTTACGGCGGGGCCGACGCGGCCAAAGCCAAAGCGCGAGGAGACGCCAGCGTACAGGTGCACTCGCAGACCAACGGGAGTCGCTCGGCACACTCCGGCTCGAAGCAGGAGGAGCGACCCGAGTCGCCCGGCGCGAAGGACTGCAAGGCGCTGGTGCTGCTGAAGATGGAGGAGATGCAGGAGGAGCTGAAAGTCCAGCTTCCGCCTGTTTGCTCCGAGAAAGCAGCACCAGCGCCGCAGTCCCGGAGATCCAGCCTGGGAGGGCCACCGTCTGACGACACACAGACGGACAGCAGCCTGACGGGCTCCACCATGTCCCTGTGTCTGATCGGCTCTGGGGCCAACCCGGCCGAGCCCCCTCGGAAGGGGCCGCTGGCCAACATGGGGCTCCTGCCCAGCGAACTGGCCCGGACTCGGCATCGCTTCTCCTTCGATGGAGACTATGCTCTATTCCAGAGCCACAGTTACCCGCGCCGGGCTCGAACCCGCCGGCACAAATCCACCACCCAGCTGAACACAGACGTGTCACCACCCTGCAGCCGGAGGGTGACGTTCAGCAGCACAGAGTGGATGTTGGAGAGTACAGTGTGAGGACTGAAGCACACACACACATATGTTTGGACTGTCTACATATTGACGTTGTTGCAGTAACACACACTCCGTTGATTCCTGTGTCCGTTTTAACACATATGAAACATGACACAGCAAACCTAGTGAGCTGCCTACTTAGATGCCGTCTAAAGATACAGTAAAGTGATCAAAAGACATTCCAATGAATAAATAAATAAATGCAGTTCTTGAACTTTCTAAGAAAGAACCCTGAAAAATAAAATGTATCACAGTTTCCACAAAAATATAAACTGTTCTCAACATTGCTAATAATCAGAAATGTTTCTTGAGCAGCAAATCAGCATATTAGAATGATTTCTGAAGATCATGTGACACTGAAGACTGGAGTAATGATGCTGAAAATACAGCTTTGATCACAGAAATACATTACAGTTTAACAGATATTCACATAGAAAACAGCTGTTTTGAATTGTGATAATATTTCACAATTTTTACTATATTTTTGATCAAACGAATGCAGCCTTGGTGAGTAGAAGAGACTTAATTCTGAGACTTTGACCCCAACATTATATTGATTGCAGTGGTTCTTAAGTGGTTTTGCATTAGAGTTAACATTCAAAGTATACAATCAAAAAAAATTTTATGTTCATGTACAACATTTTTAATCGTACAAAGTTGTATTTCGATGCTTTCGTGTTCTTGGCACCATTATTTTATTAGTCTATTTAATATATCTTATGTTAATGTATTTTCTTTTACGTTATGCAGTTTAGATATAATGAATTTAAATCAAAAAGTTATTATTATAATTTGGTTTTTTATTACTGTTTTGAATTAGCTTTTAATTTTATATATTCAGTTTTAATTTTAGCTTCATTTTTAGTCATTTTGTTATTTTTATTTTAATGTTTTGTCATTTTTATTAGTGTTTTGTATTTCTGAATAGTTTTAGTTTTATTCCAGCTATTAATTTTGGTACTTCAACTTATTTCAGGCAACATTTAAAAACTTTTGTTTAGTTTAAAGATTTCAAGTTTTCCTTTCTCTTTGGAGTGTTACAAGCTGATTGTGCAGAGATAAGATCCCTGAAGTTGCAAAGACTAAAGTCTCAAAACCAAAGAGATATTTTTTATCAAAGTTAAGACTCTGCCACGCCCCCCTAAAACGGCTCGTTCTAACACGCCCCCACATATCTACCTCACTATGTGGAAATATTTGCATAATGCGCCCAAATGTGCACGCAAAGAAAGAAGGCGTGGTTTCAGTAACCGCAGTTAGTGTTGAAGCAGCATGTCAGGGAGACGCTGTGTGTTTCTAGGCGAAAGCAAAAGCACTTTATTTGGGCGAGAGCGAGAGAGCGGTGTGTGTGAGAGAGAGCACGAGAGAGAGAGAGAGAGAGAGAGAAAGCGAGAGAGAGAGAGAGAGCGAGACACATCACAGTGGAGTCTGCTGTCTTAACCGTGGCTTGTGTACTGCAAACACATATTCATCACTGTGTCTGTCACGAGACTCTGTTCCCCTTTCGGGCTCTGTCTTTACATTTATTTTGAAAGATGAAGCTCGCGATTATGGTAAGGGGCGTTACATTTCCGACGAGTGCTTGCGGTGTTCGGCCAATCACAATGCACTGGGTCAGCTGGCCAATCAGAGCAGACTGCGCTTGTCGGAAGGAGGGACTTTGTAGAAAACGAAGCGTTTGAGAGAGGCGGGGCATAGAGGACCTACAATAATCAGTATTTGAAAAATAATGTGTTTTTTGAACATTAAAGCATGTCAACATATTCTGTTACACCAAATACACAAAATAATGATCTTTAAAAAAGCATCATATGACCCCTTTAAGTTTTTCACCTAATATGCAAATATTTTTTCAGCAAACAAAATATTTTAATATTTTTAGTTTAGTTTTAGTTTTATATAATTATATTATATAATTTTAATTTCAGTTTTTTTATTTCAGTTAGTAATTTTAGTACTTAAACATATTTCAGTCAACATTTAAAATTTTTATATATATATATAAATTTTAGTACTTAGTACTATATATATATGGCAAATTATTATGGTGAAATTACGTCAAAATCAGATGAAACAAAGCATATAGGAAGTGTTTTCTCCTCCCTTTCTGTAATTTGCTCATCTATTTATTTGACTATCCTAACTATTTATGTTTAGTTGTATTTTGTTTTTCACATTGATCACAGTTTTGCTCTCTGTGAGCCATCAGAACAGACCTGGGACCTTTTTTAGGTCACAATGCACCATTAGAGAACCACTGTGTTGTAAACCTGCAGCATGCTAACTTGGGCTGGGTTTTGACACAAACTTCACGATTCGATTCTTATTCACAAGCTTGCGATTCGATTCGATTACCGATTCGATTCGATTCGATTCAATATCGATTATTTTGGAAATATATCAGGTAGGCTACAGTACATGCCAAATTTTCTCAAGGAAAAAAAAATCTCAGTCAGTTGGTAATACATTACTATAATATTGAAGGTAAAAATTTTTACAATAATAAAGTTACAGTTACATAATAATATTTCTACTTCAATTTGTTTTTTTGAAATACAAACATAATGGTGGCTGTCATAAAAATTTGATGGATTTATTCAAACATAAATTAAACATTGAAGAACAGTAAAAAATATAATGAATATGTTATATGGTGCATATATTTAGCAACATGCCCCTCTCTACAGTTTATTTTTCTATCTGACTAATGATTTAATTGATAGAATATTTCACTTTTAATATTTTATAAAAGCTTTCTCATTTTAATGTAAAAAATAGTATAATATTGGTGAAATATCCTCTGCAAGCAACTTGAAGTTGAAATAAAATATATATTAAAATTAAAATAAATACTGAATATAAAATAAAAAAATTAAAAAAACATAAATAAATTAAATAAATAAAATAAAATATAATATTGAAATTAAATGTATATTTTTCATCGTTTCGTGAAAGAGGATGGGAGTTGGTTTTAGTGCTTCTTGTTGTCAAATGACTTTTATTAATGTAGTTTCTCATTGTCCAGAGAGACGAATCTGAAGTTTAAGATGGGTCTCAAGGTGACTGACGAGCGTCTTCAGGAGGAGAATCAGTTGGCCCGGTTTAATGGTGAGTGTTACACCTATTATAGGAGAGTTGACAGACTTGGACACAGATCATTTGTGTGCGAGTAGTTGCTTGATTGTGATTTTCCATGCATAAACACGTGTTGCCTTAAACCATGTGCTAGCCAGTAGGGCTGGGTTTTGACACAAATTTCACAATTCGATTCTCATTCACAAGCTTGCGATTAGATTCTATTCGATTCAATATCGATTATTTTGGAAATATATCAGGTAGGCTACAGTACATGCCAAATTTTCTCAAGGAAAAAAAAATCTCAGTCAGTTGGTACTACATTACTATAAAATTGAAGGTAAAAATTTTTACAATAATAAAGTTACGGTTACATAATAATATTTCTACTTCAATTCGTTTTTTTGAAATACAAACATAATGGTGGCTGTCATAAAAATTTGATGGATTTATTCAAACATAAATTAAACATTGAAGAACAGTAAAAAATATAATGAATATGTTATATGGTGCATATATTTAGCAACATGCCCCTCTCTACAGTTTATTTTTCTATCTGACTAATGAGTTTATGGTCACGAATATGTTTTTCTGAGGTAAATGTGACGTTACGTGACATTGTTTACAAGCCGTTATATTGACATCTTTGCGCGGCTGAAACATTGATTGAGACAGGGTACGGATTGTAAAGTTGTACTCTTTCTTTTAACTTACCTTCGGATGTTTAGTCATGTTTATTTTGTGCTGAAACTGGTATTAATGTGGAGGAGATGATCAGTTCACTGAGGCGCTCCAGCGATCTGTCACTCCACATTAAACAGTGCCAAAACGGCATTTATTGTTTGAATACTGCAATACAATGGACAGAATTTGAAATCTGAGACTTTGTTTCATATTAAAAGCACCAAAGCACAATGCGATATTGCGTTATATTGGATGGGAAGTGCCCTTCAACGGTCCGTCCATTAACTGAAAACAGGCTGGACTGATCGATTCTTTGGATTTAAGAATTGATATCGTTCCGTAAAAATGAGAATTGATGAATATCGAGATATCAATATTTTTTACCCAGCCCTAATGCTAACATCGAATCAGTGTCGCATGTGGAGTTCAGAGTGTTTCACATCAATCCTGGTCCGGATGCTGCGTTAGAAGGCAGCTCCCTATGTAGGCGGCTCACTAGGGTTGGAAACAGAGCTGATGTCTGGTGTCATCTGATAGAGCACAGTCTGACCCGTCCTGCCTCCTCCTGCGGTCCTGAAGAGAGTCCGTAACGCAGCGGTGCCTTATCGAACGACCAACCCACGGAGGATGCTGCTAGCTGCAAACACACCCATCCCGTCCCGTCCACGCAGGTCTCTTTCGTTAGTCTGTTTGTTTACTATGTGATGCCAAGGGAGCAGAAGCAGGAGGAAGTGACTGTGTTTGTTTTGGGTGATGATACTCATCCAGGTGAGCGCTGCGTGTGAATGTGTATATGTCCAATACTTTTCAAAGACTTTTGCACAGAAGACACGAGATATATACGCACCAGTCTATACAACAATAAAAAACGATTACGAAATAGATCTATACAAATAGCATCTGCTTTTTCAGGAAGAACGGACCAGGTTTTCTACAGTATGAGGACGATTTGCAGCTGGATGGACTGTTTCTGAACCGGTATTGTACTGATGTGACTGTATCCTAAAACCGGTTTTGTATCTGGCTGGTCTAGATTTAAAAAAAAAAGATTTAAAAAAAGAAATAAGACCAATATCGACAGCAACGACAAATACATATATAAGTATATTAAAATCTCTCGGTGTATGTGTTCTGAATATGTAAGTCATAGGTGAGATGACTTTTTATAAACATTTTGGAGTGCTGGCGTACGGTTTTTACATTAAAAACCACTGTCATCACCGATCCCCACGTTTAGCGTATTCAAGTTTGGACCATTTATGCCTCACGAAAAGGGGATTAAATGTGTTTGTGTGGGTTGACTGTAGGAGGTGTTTTTGTCTTTTGTTCTTGCACATTTTCCTCACACGTTTCTCTCGTATCCTGAATGTGTCCGTAATGATGGGATGCAGCAGTCGACGAGGCGACCAAAAATACCACGTCTAATTATGCTTTCGTGA